ACATTTTTAAAAAGGCAGTTGGGATCCCCGAGAAAGTTTCACATTAAATAAAACGACATTTGGGACCCCCGAGAAGGTTTCACCTTAAAAAAAGACATTTGGGGCTCCCGAAAAGGGTTTAATTTAGAAAAAGACAGTTGGGATCCCCGAGAAGGTTTCACATTCTAAGAAAAAACATTTGGGGCCCCCGGAAAGGGTCCACCATTTTTTAAAAAGACTACTGAGACCCCCAAGAAGGTTTCACATTCTTAAAAAATACATTTGGGGCCCTCGAGAAGGTTTTCACATTTTAAAACAAGACAGTTGGGACCTTCGAGAAAGTTTCACATTAAAAAGAAAGAAATTTCACATTCTAAAAAAACATTTGACGCCCCTGGGAGGATTCTACATTTTTAAAAAAGACAATTGGGACCCCCATGAAGGTTTCACATTCTTAAAAAGATACGTTTGGAATCCCCGAGAAGGTTTTACATTTTTAAAAAGACAGTTGGAACCGCCGAGAAGGTTTTACATTCTTAAAAAAAGACATTTGGCGTCCCCGACAAGGTTTTAAATTTTTGATAAAGAGGTGCATATTCTCACCTTTTCGAGAAAGTGACGTAATTTTACGAATATAAAATTTGTGATAACGTCATAAACATAGATCATATTGTCTTTGCCATTTCTATTGAAACACCACCTGTTGATTTTGCTTAAAATTCAGCAATTGGTAACAGCTTTCAGTTGATTGACAACGGCTTTTAATTAGAAAATTCTCTGAATATGAACGTTGCCAAATTTACCAACAACAAGTGGTGTTTCAATAGAAATGGCAAAGACTATACACAATGCCTAGAAAAAAAGAGGAAAAAAGAAAAAAACGAAAGCCCAAGTTTGAAACCGAACCCGCGACGTTCGGTTCCATTCCTGACTGGTACCCACTAGACCACGACCGGGATGCTTTACGCTAATGATACACCGTTGTTATACCGTGCATTATGTTTTTGTAAAAATTTGGACGGTTAGGGTAAAACTAGAAGCGGATTCGTATACCACACTTGTTGTATAACAGTTAAATTAAATCAAATAAAATTAGAATTCTTTCAAGTGACGTCATCAAATTGTTGGTGGGGATAATTACCAAAATTTTGGTTAGCATTTAACCGTCTACATGATATTTTTAACATAGATACAAAATTTGACAACAATCGGTCCAGTAGTTTCGGAGATTACGTGTCTAATAAAAATACTCTGGGGTTAGGAAACGTCGAGAAAATACAAAAGTGGCTATTCGTCCGATGGATTCGATTACTATACTTCCTTAGCTTGCGCTCGGTAAGTAAAAAGGATCTTTTTTAATGTGTACAAAAATCCATTGAAACTAAAACCAGTAAGACTTGGTAAAAAAGTACAAAGCAGTGAATATTAAATGAGCAGCTATAAATACATACCTCGGAATGTTTTATCGTTTGACCTAAAGATTTAATAGTTGAAACGCTACAAATACACAAAGGGAAAAAAATCAATAACAACCTCCTTACGTTGACTTAATTTTTCAGTGTGTTTAAAACATAGCACAAAGTCTTTAAGACGCTTGTTTACGAATATTGGTACATAGCTTAATTGGCAATTGGGTTTCAGATATCACTATTAAAAATCCCTTGACAATTTCCGGTTATTAATGAAAAATTACAGTTCTGGAATTTATAGTTAGAACGTTATTTTTCAATCGACCAAAATTTCATTGCTCTGAAATTAAAGACGGTAACAAGTATGTGAACAGACTTCAAATGGCACTGTACCAGTAGTAGATAGAATCCCGAGCTAAGCACGTAATTTTAAGATTTCACTGTGCCGTCAAACATTTGAAATTTGTATTTCACTGCAAAAAATATTAAAGTTGAAAGTAAAACAAAATGTGATGATATTTTTGGTAGTTTGCATTTCATAACATTTTAGCGGATACAAAAATAACGTTCTGACTATAATACGAAATTGCATCACTTTATTTAATTTGTTTACCGACACTAAATCTAAATATAGATTTGTTGATATATTTGACTGGATATAAATAAATTCTAGTGACTGTTCTATGCATCAACAAAATCAGGATTAATTAAAACAAAGGTATGACGTTGTTGCATAAGAGTTAATTGTATTTGAAACAGTGGCGGCTCGTGAAGTTTTCTTCAGAGGAGGCTCAAATTTGAAAAGCACTACTTTTTATATCTTTCATTATCTGAATATTTTTTTTGTCATGCCCACGAAAAGAACACTCGTGCCTTGATAGATAAATAAACTTTTGCATCGATTAGTCTTTTCAAAATTGCCCAATTTTCACCAACTTTCTCGTAATAGTTCTCCCTTTTATGAGCCGAATCTAAATGATTGGCATTGTTTTGTTTACCAAGCATTTCTAATTTAATCGAAGGAAATATGTGGTCCTATGATTTTTCATGCCTTTCTATAGCTCGTGACAAATTTTGTAAATTATTTTAGCCTGTTTTACCCCAAACGGAAGATTTATCACTTATAAATAATACACAATTCCAACAGTATAATTTGTTTCTTAAAACCGAAGCCGTTAACTATTTAGTTTTATTATAATTATTTTCATGAAATGCTCTGTTTTATTTCTAATTGTAACTGTCAATACAATTAATGGGAGTGATGGTGTTGGTCTCCCCTTTTGTACCCTTACCTACGTAAAGCCTAAACATCACCATCACTGAACAGGGAGCTCGCGAAACCACCTCAAAGTTTTTCCTACTTACACCCGATTGCGCCAACTAATAAGAAAGAGATAAAGTTATCTGTACGACTTGATCTGAAAAGAGATGAACTGGCCGGAGGCTAGCGGCTTGGAGCGGCAGTCCGATGAACGTTTTAGCCAATGCAATACAGACTGACGATGCGTCAAGGTCTAGGGTCTCAATAGCAAGATGCATTCTCGGCGGAGGCTAGCGGCTAACAAGCCTCTGCCGCTGAAACCAAACGCGGAGTGGTGTGAATGTGAATTATGATTGTGAGGGCGTAAATATAAATTTTTGCGACATTTTAACCTGATATATGATGAAAGTAAATGAAATCCAGCAAAATATTCTGAAAAATAACAAATGTCTACAAAAATATAAATTCTTTCATCGAAAAAAATTAGAGGAAGCTCAGCTCCAAAAAACAGAGGAGGCTCAGCCTCCCCTGCCTCCTCTGAGGAGCCGCCACTGATTTGAAGGCAATCAGTTTTGCAAGTTAACCAAACCAACTGAAATTTTAAATGAGGTACTCGAGTTGCAATATACATGTTTTCGAGTACTGTTTAAACAACCATGGTTTCAGATTTACCCACATTACCATTAAATTTGGTGCAACATTTGAGCTAGATGACCTAAAAACCTAAAAATTTCTTTAATTTTGATTCTGTAAACAAAAAGGAATTAATTTTTTAAATTATCTTATCTCATGTGGTGTCAAAAAATTCTATTTGTTCATTCATATAGGTGATATTTCCACATAAACTGAATCACTGAGTCAAATGTTATTTTTGAATGGTACTTGAGTAACTTGGGAATCTAGATATAACTGTTTTCAAAGCTTTATAAATCTCATCATACAGAACAAACTTATTGTATACCTATGCAAATAGGTTGTCAAGATAGATTCATTTTGATTTTAAGAAAAAAAAAATTGGGTTAGTTAAAACAAATTTTGTCACATAAAGTGAATAGTATTTTTATTTACACAATTCCTATAAAGCATCGAATGCATACAAATGTATTTTTGGAATGTGTGACTTTTAGATTGGCATCAAATATTGGTGAATTTATTTTAATTGTATTTTAACGTTATAGACTAGAAAGTTGTTTTGTGAAGCTTTATTTTTCTAGTTACTTTATTAACGTTATTGGTATTTATACCCTGCAGCGTTGTTAATAAATTCTGAAGTCACAATTGGGCGTTAATTTTTAATATTCGATTGATGATATCGGTATTTCAAAGTGAGTAAGTACCAAGGTCGTCACCGGAAAAATTTACTTTTACATTTCCATAGAAAATTAAATTGACAACACTTTACCTTTTGAAAATAAAATAATAAAATTAAACCAACTTAATGACTTAAAAGTCTTGGAAATATAACAGCATCACCAGTACCAACTAGTATGACACTAATATCAAAAAATGTTAGACATTCTTCTAGATATAACATTTAAATTCTTATCCATGCATGGTTTTACTGTTTAATTCATTTCAGTTTCATTGGAATGTGACTTTCATTAAAACGAAAACACTATTCTGTCAATAGTTCCACTAATCCGTTTTATCACCTGACATTTCGAAACTTTAAGAATCATACAGTTAGGTATTTTCATGAGGTCATAATCTGAAATTAACATATCACACTAAAAGACTGAATGAAAAATTCCTATATTTGACTAACACTCATTTGCATTTTATTGTACGACAGAGCTTAGCTCGAGGTGATTTAGTAAACCAAATGAATCACTCAAAGAAACCGAAAGTATTATTTTACAAACATAAACAAGTGTCTTGTCTTATCAAAACCCCGAAGAAAATTCTTTCGTGATGACGAAACTGGTTAAGTAAGTATTTTTCCTCCGATGTTTCCCAGTTACCTAACGATCAAACAAGCACAGACCGACTTTTAAAAGCGGCAATTCCGACTTCCGACGAACTCAAAACTCGCTAGAACTTTCTGGATGGAACTGTTTTTCAACGTTCGCCTGATAACATTGTCAGAAATATTTCTTTTTGTTATCAGTCTCGTTCGACTGGAAAAGTGGAAACCAGCAATTAACACTATCTAACCTTGTCCGTCTGTTTTGTTGTAGCCGAGTCGGAACCGCACACACCGTACACAATTTAAATATTTTCGCAATATTAACGTTACTTAAAGAAAAGTCACCTACTTAAGCACTAAAGCGGTGACATAACACCGATAAGATGTTAAAGTTTACACTTTTCGGTTGCATACAGTTAATTACGGTTAATGTAAATCACCATACCATTTCCATCCTTGGCGAAACCAATTTAGTCGTTGAACCCATTTCGTTCCTTTCGGAGCCCAGTTCGGAGCCATTGTTGGAGGCTGTCGTTTTGACCGAGGCGGATCCGAGGGTTGTGTAATCGTACAAGTCTTGATTGTTCGGATAATCGCTGAGTTTCGAATCGTTCGAAATTATGGTGGATGCGTATGCTTCGTCGTAAGTGTTAATATCCACATTTCCATTTTCGGGGATGAAGCTTAGGTTTTCGTAGGTATTTGATTGGGAATTCTCGATCGATAAGTTATTGTAATTTCTTATCGCACGCAACGACGGCGATTTGAGCAAAAGTTTTGGTTTGTAGGAGGGTTCGTAGATGAAGCTAATTTTTTGGGGCACCTGGAAAAAAGAAAGCATTTTTAATCAAGGACTATTTTTGCATGGATCATGGTTAAAGTAAATATTTGCACGTAAATTAATCGCTAATCAAATATAATGAAGGATGTTTTTCTTTTGTTAAGCGCTGTATTGTTATTAAATTACTGTATACATAATAAATTACATATACACGGTGGAGGCGTCAATTTTTTTCACTGTAAGTATACGTTACAATCATCAATATTTTTCCTTACCGGTTCAATTAAAAAAATTAATAGATCTGCTTCATAAATTTATTGCCTTACCGACAAAATAACAACTGGTAAACAGTATAATGTCAAACTAGCAACAGTAATAAAATCACAAAAAAATAGTGACAAACAATAAAAAAAAACGTACTTAGCAAAATGTAGTGTTTCACACATAATTTTTTCTACGAGCGCGTGAATTAATTATGGAAAAATTATTTGACGAGAAATATAAACGCTAGATCAGGTCAGTAGGGCTGAATCTGGGTATAGAAGAGTCAGCTGCATTAACTGTTCAATGCTTGCTGTCAAATAAATCAAAAGAAGAGTATGAGAACGCTTATCGTCAGTTTGAGTATTGGTGTAGAGAAAAGCGCATCAAGTCGGTTAATGAAGACGTTTTATTAGCATACTTCGAACAAGAAACAAGATATTTACATTACAGAGTTTTTATTCAATGCTGAGAATAACCTTATCAGTGAAGAAAATTGTCGATATAAAACGATTTGCAAGGTTAATAGCTTTTATTAAACGAAAGTCAGTTGGATAGATATCAGTCTAATAAATCTAATAATTTCACAAGATCGGAAATAGAAAATCTTGGGGTGGACTTGACGATGAAGGTAAATGAGTATTTTTACATTAAAAAAAAAATTATAATTTTTTATTGTTCCAGGTCGTGTTAATTGCTGGAATTAGTAGTGTGAGAAAAAATGACTTTTCTTCGACTTGAAATTATTAAAAACAATAGGGTCGTTTATTCTGATCAAAATTTCAAATACAAAAACTAATGTGCGAAGTTTATAATGTCTAGTGGAAATATCGAAGGACTAAATCTTCAATGATTTCGTCCTTCGTCAACTGAAAGTTCACCATTTTTTGAAGTTGCCAAATCCTAGCAGTTACAAAGACCACTGTTTTAAGAGAACGTCTGCTACAATTTTAGTAGAGATAGGGACGGACTTCACAATTTTAACGAGACACTCCGAATTAAAGACAACCAATGTAGGATATATTGAGAATTGTATTGGATATAAACTTCAAGTAGCATACAAACTGTTAGGATGAAAATAAGAAATAGAGGTACTTAGTAGTCCAAAGTCAATTTCAACTTATTAAAATTATTCAAATTATTAAAAGGTTAATGTTAATGTTTATTTATAATTAAAATAATAGTAATTAATTTGTAACAAACATGTACAATTTTTGATTAAGAATTATTGTTTCCGCTCTTAGGAAAAATTTCTTTCAACTTTTCCTAACCTAAATGAATATCACAGAATTTAATTTATCCAAACATTAGTAGAAAAAAAATCCTATTTTATAAGGTTAAATATTGTTACGATTATCGGTGATTTAAAACTCAACAATTTATTTCTTATTGTAACTCAAATTTACACGACTAATTACACAGCGATTATGTACAGAATAATTCCGCCTGGAATGGATTTGATTAGACTCTACTTCACCCATTGTCTGGATTACTCTCAACATTAGCTGGACTCGACTTGACTGAATAATAATCGTTCCCGAAGGAGTCCTCTATTTAAATCCATACATAAACTTCTCGATGTTTTGCGATCGAGGTCTTTCTGGAAAACTCATCAAAATTCCGCTTTTAGGCTTTTCTTTAGCCGGCCCCCGTCACCGACGATAAGTCACCCATCATCGCCGCACATACTAGAAAACCCAAAGGCGCCGTAACAATATTATGACACCACTTCAAGTTTATAAGACGAACCACTTGCGACAATGACTATAAAAACTTTATACTATTTTTTTCATTGAGAAAACTTAGTCTTTGTTTGAAAAAAATTATCGTTGTGTCCACTATTACACTACTTTTATTAAAGTTTACAAAGTAGGGATGATTAGTTCTACTAATAAAACTACTTTGTTAAAAACTTCTATTCTGTAAACAATATGAAGACCCGACTGTGCCCCATTCCACAAATTTTAATCTACTGTTAACAACATTTAGCAATCAGTGATTATTTATCAAACAATGTAATATTCCAATATCACCTACATTGAATGTGTGCACATTATCTGGAAAAAATTAAAAATGAGAAGTGCTGTCCAAACGCACTTTAACCCACTGATTTTTTTTACTTCCTTTACTTTAATGCGTTCTATCCGACGAGTGGCTACTTTCATGTTTTTCCGACATTTTATGACCCCAAGAGTATGAAATATATCTCCCTTTTCCGTCTCTCTCTCCCTCTGTGTCTGTGTGTGTCGATTTTTATTTATTAGATAGAAAATCTCCGAAACTACCCGATCGATTGTTATAAAATTTTGTATGTGATTTAAGAATGTCGTGTAGATGATAAAACACTAGGCAAAATTTCTCAAAACAATATAATCCTGTTCTCGTACTTTATGAATCCGCTTTGATAATTAATTTACAAAAAATTTGTGTAGAATATTTTCCACGTATTTCATATATCCGATATTTATTTATTTTATTTATAAGATAAATACAATTTTCAAAATAAAATTTTATAATTTTCCGAAAAAACTGAATTAGTTTAGTTCTATTTAAGAAAGTTCTGTCTAAGTAACTTTTGACGAATTTTTTTCTTTTGAATGCGTAGAAACAAATATTTTGGCTACGTTATTTAATAAAATACAATACAATTTGTTAGAAAAAAAAATTATTATGTATTCAATATCAGTGTTAAAAAAAGAATTATAATGCACAAAGAAATACATTTAAAAAAGTGAGGTTAAAAATTTAAAATCCGTTCAAAATTTGAAACCGTTTTTCATATAGACCATGTGCTATGCCAAACAATAAATTTCGGGCACCAGTTTACTGGCGCGTTAAAAATTTGGCACCACATACATCAACATGACATTTAAAAATTAATCTTTGAAGACATGTAAAATTTAGTAAAAATGACAATTATAAAAATGAAGTTACTGATAACTAATTACTGCTTTAAAACTAATGATAGCGAAATGATACTAGTGCCCGAAATTTATTCATTGATAGTGGTACTGTACATCATGTTTAAACAAGTACACTCTCTTTACATGATTTTGCGCCACTTCATTCCACAAAAACCAGACCATTTTGTAGAATACTTGGGCTTTTTAATTATTTTAATCATTGTAATTTTATTACTGTTTTTTTAAAAATCCATGTTACTAGCTTGTAAAAACCTGAAGATGACTTTATTATGTAATAAAGTCGAAACATGTCGTTATCAATCAGTCTCCTAATGAAAAACTTCACACGTTCAAGAAGCGGAAAACAACCTCAAATCAATTAAAACATTTTAATACCTATCCAAATTTTCCGATTTGCTAATAAAATTTACACCATCTGGTTCAGTTTTTGTCAAATGTCTTTTATTTATATAGGAAGTGTCTCAGTTTACCCGTTTAACTTTTAAATTTTCAGTTATTTGAGACGAAGTAAATTTGAAATTTAAAATGGTTACAAACTTACAAAGAAACGTGTGAAGTGGATATAATTTAGTACTTTAATAGTATATCAAAAAACAGGTTTCATAAGACGTTATTTTAGAATACGAATTCCAAAATTAAAAAAAAAATTATACAAATTTTAAAATAAAAATTGTATTTTTTTAAATTTTGGGAAATTTTGGCGAGGATTGTAACATATTTTTCGGGGGCGGCTGGGGTCTAACACACTGGACATAGCAAAATACTAATTTTCAATATTTAAAAAATTATCCGGAAGTTAGTGTCATAATTATCAAAACTAATTTTTTTATGTCGCTCCATTTGTATCAAATGCATCAAAACTTAAATCTAAAGATATTGTGTCTTAGATATATTGTTGGTAAGGTCTCGATAAAAGCCGAACCCAAATCATGACTCATTTAGATTTTTTCTTTACACCGTTGCCATAGAAACCGCGCCTCTAGTCGCTGTATTTGGCTGCAATCGGGTCACATTTGAGACAGTGACCGCTAGGAGTAATTCAATAAATAAGTACATTGTTCAAGTCTTTTCTATATTTATTTACTTTTATCTTTGTAAATTTGAGTAATCCGTAACAAGATTAATAACAATAAATAATAACTACGGGAGTTCATTTTCATCCTGTACGAGTGAAATTGTTTGATTTTAAATAAAAATAATGAATTCAGTTAAAAAGATCGTCCTCTGTCTTACGACGATAAAATTGTAGTGAAAAATTTAGGGAGAGCTACCCCCCATTTATTGATAAAAAACGTGTTAATGGCAAAATGAGACTTTCATAGATATCTTAATCGACATAGCAAGGATGATACATTTTTGTGGATGTACGGTTGTGAAAAAAATAATAAATTGTTTTGTGTGTGTCCTCAGTAAAGAGTTCATAAAACCAAAGTTATGTACTCAAATTTTTTTTTACCTTTATTGAATGTATTATATACAGCCTGTTTTATATCTTCATATTTAACTCATCGTTCAAATTGTGTCCCCTCATTTCAAAAGGCCACGAGCCGCCACTGATATTACTGCATCGAGTCCACAGATGCAGTAAGACGAATCACGTGGCAGTAATTTTCAGCATTGTATAGAACAATTGTACATTTCATGATAAAATTTAATTATAATAATAATAAAAAAATGTTGTTCTTTTGATTTATTATTTGCACCGTCTTGAAAAAATGAATTACAATAATTATTTTAGAAAAAAAATTATTAAATACAGCCGCATCTCTGTTTACCCCAAAATTTATGTGAATTTGGCACTACTAATTAAAATAAAAAAATATATAAGATATAAATGTATAAGGGTGTTTTTTTTAC